GTGGACCCTCAATTTTTTTTCTGTTCCAACAGTTGCATAGCTACTTTTGTGCGCATTGATGTCAATTTTCTTCCTTTTTAGAGGTCTGCCGGTCACAATCTTACAAACGTTTATATATTCCTCCTCAGTTGAGTCATTGTCTTCTGGTTCATAGTCTTTATCCATGTCACTATCATCACACGAATTATCACTATAATTACCTATAGTATCCTCAATATCAAGGATAACAGCCATCTGCTCCTCAGTTATCTCAGATGATACGTGAGAAAACGTGTCTTCTTGTTCTTCATGAATAAGTTCCATCTTTCAACTGCCAATTTTATTAAGAACTGAGAAAGAAAAGAAGCAAGTACTACATAATGGAAAATTCCGGGTGTGAAACGGCTACTTACTATTATTTGTGTATTTGCTGCTGTATTTTAACACAACCGCTTACCTGCTTCATCATTATCATTCTGTATCAAAGATTTTTGTGCAAGTTTCAATATTTTCAAAGATCTTGCGGACATAATCAAAAGTATAATTCTACTTTTATAAATATCCGTCCAGTCAAATCGATCAAATAACGGTATGCCACATCACAATGCTGAACTAAGTGCTCACATCACACTGTTAAATGGCCGTCCAATATGTAATAACCTAACGTTTTCATCTTGAAACAGTTCTCGGAAAAGTTATAATACTTCTTAGTCAATAACGATAACATCCATTGCGTCAAAGAGATTACGTCATCCCGGTTGCATCATTTCCATGATCGAGTAAGAGAACACCGTGACTTATGCAATACTCTCCTTCGGCACTAATAGTACAAGTTGACTTGTACTCTTTTTCCCCACATAGATGTAACCATGCTTACTTGTACTATTAGAACCAAACGACGTACTATGTTATAAATAATTTAAATTTATACTATTTATACCAAAATATCGAACTCCCTGTAAAGAATCAGACTGTGGACTTATCTCATTTTGACCATTTTTTGACTCATACTCTTTCTCCCTGGAAGCCTAGATACGTACTTAAAACTTCTTAACGCGACTCATAATAAATAGATTTAAAATATTTTTAAAAAAATAACTGTTAAATGGCACTGTCTTTGTGCGTGTTATCATATGCCGTTGCCGCCAAACGGACCAAATATGGCGACCACGCATACCTATTCTTCTAGAGCTCTAGTTAGAACGCCCTGCTCGTCGTGGGGCTGGAGCCCCGCCAGACCGGCCCTTTTGTCGCCTAGGAGGGGTCGGGAGAGGGGATGGCGCCTTCCGGCTGATGTTTGTTCGCCGGCTCCGCGATTGTTCTCGGGCGCGTAAGAAATCTCCTCAGAAGGAAGCATGTGGTTACGTCGTGCCAAGTCCTTTGACAAGAAATGGCGCGTGACTGACGCGTATGATGAAATGGTCGGATGACCGTTGAATCCATACTTATCTACGACGTTGACCGGTTCATGGCAATACGCAATTTAAAATTTTTATGTAAACAATTTTTTTCTCGAAAAACGGACCAAGGGACTTCCCATTCACTAGAAATAAATTAATTTGAGATATTTGTATTTTTGTGTAAGCTGTAAGATTAATAGGAGGTAAATAACAAGCATTTGTGAATAGTTATTTTTCTATTTATATTACCAACGTCCTCTGAATTCCTTAACTCGTATTTTTCTTTATATTCTCACAGAAATGCCAATCTTTGATATATCATTGCAAAAGATGTAAAATAAATAACAAATAAATTAAAGACAATTAAATCGAAAGATTAATACGATAAAATCTGTATTTACTGTTGTGTTAAGAGATTCTCTTTGCTATGGACCCTTCCATAAATTTCAAGGGCTCGGAATAGGCCCATTTACTGGCTTCACAGCACTGAACCACTTGGTCAGGCGTCTGCATTCTTTTCAGCTCTTGGCTCAACTGGGTCCTCAGCTTTTTCAATTTTCGAACAATTTCCAGTGAGGATACGACAATGTTTGATGCATTCGTACGCTAATTTGTTTTTATAATCTGGGGAATGACACCGCTGCTCTTCCACTTCGGCGATGAACTCCTTTTGTAATAGGTATTGATGGGACTGTCCTTAAGAATGAATGCCTCCCAGAGTAGATTTCCATCTTCGCAGTATAAACAATCTTAGAATCCATCAGGGCAAATTGTGTACTTGGACGATTCTTTGGATTCAAGTGAACGCCTTGCAGCGCGTCAGTCGCTTCGGGGATCCTCTGCAGGTTCGCTGTGCAATTGGATTTGATGTCTGCAAAAGTATGCACGAGCAAAGTCTGGAAGTTCCGGTTTTGGAGAAAAACCTCACACTGAGCGCCGAATGAGCCGTTACTGCGGTGGAAGCGCCATGCTTTTTTTCTCCTAGTGTCCAGCCTCCTAGGTAGAAATGTTTGTTGGCGGTTTGACCTTGCGGACGTCTTCGTAGTGAATCAGCCTTTGCCAGTCACCAACATTTGCACCTTCACTTTGCACCGGTCTTCGGGAGCGGGGAGGCTGGGCCTTTGCCGCAACGTCGTAACCGGACACCCAGGTTGGCTCGATCCAGGAGGAGTTGTCTGTTTAGCACCCGCGGCACGAATTTTGATGCAACGCGCGTCAGCTCAAAAGGTCTGACAGGATTCACTTCCTCGGCCATCTCACGAACTATTAAACGGCGATTTGCCCGCCCCAAATCGTTCTCCAATTTGACACGGTGGGGGTCTGACGATGTGGAAAGCCGCCCGATCGGGAATTTTCATTTGTCCAGGTCACCAACAAACACTGTCCCCATAAACGTCGGTGAGGAATTTTGCGTTTCTATATGGCCACCTAGCAACTACGTCTATAAATTCCATGTTAGCGTTGCATATTGCTTGCACATTTAATGAAAAATAATTCTTCCTATTTCGAAATGTTTCAGCATTGCTGTCACCACGTGACTTAATTCGCACATGGGTGCAGTCACTTGCCCCTACAACATTTGGGAATAACGCAATCGAATAAAAATGCAATTCGCTTTTCGGACATTACCGATCACTCTCAGGAAATTGCTCCATAAACGGAAAAGGCGCGGCTATTGCGCACGTCACTCTCTGAACAACTCGAAAGCAGAGGATTCGCTGAACCCACGAAGTCACCAGCTGTCATAAAACCTTAAAGCACAGAGAAGCTGGGTCACCCAAGCAATACTGTCGTTCCCGAAAAGAAAAGAATGTCCATCATTAAACGTCAAATAAATTCACATCGTCAAGCCTATTGCTTGTGAAGACAAGAATGATGCTTTTGAAACTACATAGATTCTGCAATGGTGTTGTACTACAATTTTCGGCACAACTGTCGTGCCGTGAGTGGGCGAGACGGAGAGAGAAAAAAGCGGTTTTCGGTTCGTAACGTTTGATTTAATTTAAAACAAGCGTTTACGAGAATCTGAACGTTAACTCGTCAGTTGTATCATGCACTTGCAACATTTTCTATTCATTGAATATTTTGACTAAAACTAGTTTGGGCTGAATTTTCTGACTTCTAGAAAAGAACTAAAGATTACCACGCGCAGACGCTACGTCCGTCTTCGGTAAGTCTGGCAGTACATCGAGAGCACGGAATGCCAATAAGAAAGTCTTCTAGATTATGTCAGTGGTATAAATGAGTTTTGTGACTTTCACACGCAACCAGTCTTTATAAATGAGGCCTCTAAAGAATTTCACGCATGTCCGATGAATTGCTCTTTGACTTTAAAAATATGAAGGATTTGTTGGGAAAAAACTCCCCTAAATACTTCTGTCAAATGCACCAACACACGGGCGTCATTGTTAATATTTATATAGATAATTAACTCCTAAACAAAGTATTATAGGGCCGTAAACCTGGAATTTTAAGACCGAAGGCTCAAACAAACGTTCCTCACACTGTTTTCTACAAGATAAGATCATCTTGGACTTCAACTTCCTTTTTTTGTTGATCCAACACCCGGTCCTCTAACCCCCCCCCCTTAAAAAGAGTGAAAATTATGCAATAACCTGGGAGTGATTATTTATCCTCACGGCTATCAGTGTTGATTTCTCGGAGCGAAATAACTTCCAAACTCTCAAACATTCTGAGCAATTTATAATTCCCTAGTAATAGCTTCTTTCTTTCGCTGTACTTGTATATTGATTTTTGCATTTATTGCGCCAAACAAACTACTTATTTTCGAGTCATTCCTCATTGTCGATTAATGCAATATATCCAAAAGTATCACTATCGAACAAATATCTTAATCTCAATTGAACCCAACTATGTAAATGTGAACTGTCATCTCTCCATCTCTTACATTTCGTGATTATTACGAGTAATTATAAAGCAAGCCTCCAATGAAATAAATTGTGAAATGAAGTATCATCATATTTGCACATTAAATCAATGCAATTCCTTAAGTGAGCTCTTATTTTGTTCTTAAAATGTATTCTAAAGTATTTAATATTCTTGGTTCTCAAGGTTTATTTAATGTATTTTACGTCAAAAATATGTGTGTGATATGGTACGGAGAGCAGTGTGTTCTGTGCAAGTTTTCTTAATTCTGTGATCCCTACCTTCAACTACTTACATGTTGAATTCTGAATACAGAAAGAAATGAGCGTTTTTGGCTAGATTGTTTAATAAAACATTCGCTCTGATGTAATGAGTGTATTTTCAAAAGCAAATCGGCTATTGATTTGGATTGTTATCCCTCATCATGTCCTTCGTGAAAGAAAATAATTCTGCCTTTTCTTTCGTTCTCCACAACTTGGAGAACGATAATTTGAATAACGGTATTTCCCATTGGACAGTTGAAGACGTGCACAGAAAATTGTTATATTTAATTTGCACAGATAAAGGTAAGAATATGTAAATATGGATTATGAATCAAACTAGTCTCAAGACTTCATAAGGTAATTTAATTAGCGAATTACAATTTGATAAATGAATTAGAGTAAATTCTATACATGTATAAAAATTAAATGTATATTTTTTATATCTAATGGGAGATATATGTACTATTTTCAGTGTTCTCTGTGACGTTTTCTCCTCACTGCAATCATACTGTAACAAAAGTTTTTGAAAGTGTGAAGAATCATCTGCGATGATTGCTAGAAAAAGTCTTATGTTATTTTTTAAGAATATTATCGTTACATGTTTTACGTTTTAGTATGTGTTTAGTTTCCTATGCTTTTAATTTTTTTTTCATAATTCAGAATAGTAAATTAATATTTTTTGTATTTTTGCATTACCGCAATAAAGTGTGCAACATGGATGAAATTGTAAATTCTTACCTTACCTTACCTTACCTTACCTTAGCTTAGCTTACCTTTCGTTTTCAGAGAGTTATAAAGTGCTACAACCTCCTGTGCTGGAAAGAAGCAGGAAGATGGTGGCGATTACAAAAGGACTTTCCATTTGCATAGCAGAGCGTGCCCTATTTGCTACTAGTTTATTTTAATTTATTGATTTATTTACTTATAGACCGCTCAACAACCTGAGTAGATTAATGCAAATTTTCAGGAAAGGAACATTTGGTAGGCTAATTCTGTACCGTAGTCGGTTAACGGAAATCCAATTCAGCCTCAAAAGCCGAAGTCATAAAATCTATCATGGATTTGCTTCTCGATACTTGTGTATCTCTTTGCTAGGAGACAGGAATGTGGAAGACGATGTTGATGTTTTTCTGGGGTATCAAATTTGGAGATTGTATAATTGACGTATTGACAAGGTAAAATGTAGATGAATAAAACTTAAGAAATAAGAATAAACTATGGTTAAAACGTATAACACATTGCTTGATTCAGCACAGTAGAATTGATTTTGAACCATCTATCATTCTGAATAAAGGGTAGTTCCTTTATGGCACTGCCCTTTTTATATCCACAAAAATGTAAAATGTGTCACTATTATTGAAAGATCAAAGATACAATTTTGAACAAAATACGTGCACTTTAATACGCTCTTTGTTGAAGTAATCAGTACATTTTTGTATTTGCAATTAACTTTTAAGTCAGTTTCCAAAGTAGTCCAATTCTTCCATTACAGGGGTGATGGCGTTCAAGAATTTCATGCTAATAAAACCGAAAGAAAAATTGTACGATTGCCAGGAAGCTGTGTTTGCAAAAGAATATTAATAATTCAAAGTCAGCCATATGTTCAATATCCCTCACTTCTATTTTCCAAGTGTTACTTTAGCAAAGTTGGCAATAAAGGTCTCCTCAAAGAGTCAAGGCAATTTGAGGCTGATTGGACACAATAAGCAAGATAATTTAAAGGTACAACAATATTTGTTTATTTCATTAAATTTAAAGACTTCAAAAAAATCATAGCTAAACTATACAATGAAGTATTATCAAAAGTGCTATTGCACTAAGTTTTATGCACAAATACGACCCGTTTCATGTCAAAGATAAAAATAATTTGTAAAGCTTCAAAACAAAATAATTAAATAATTTGTAATTGTACATAGCTATGCCCACAGAAGTGACTTCAAAAAGTAATACAAAAGCTCTGATTTACATTACAAATAATGGTCTAAAAACATAACACACTAAATCACAAATCATTCGTAAGTTGGACCGGGGAAGTAGGACGTACAGTAATCAAAGTTTAGATAACGAAAGTATAAAATTTGTACATTGGAACAACATTGCCGGGAGAGGTGTCTCAGGGCATCAACTGATGTCATTGCTGTACCTCTGACCGTTAGGTTCTAGGTTCGAGTCTCTTCGGTGGTAGGATTTTCGATACTAGCTTGTCAGTTGCTTCTTCTACTCTTTTTTTCATTTTGTTAGGTTTGAAGTGCGGGGAATAATACATTATTATTTGTAAGTGATCAATTCGCAACAAATTATACGTATTAACACACAAGTGTAATTATTTTGTACTAAAAACCAAAATATCTCATGTTTGGATCCCTAAAATAGTTGGATTTTTAAAATTTTATTATTATTTTTTTTCATTTATTAGTTCAATGTTTCTTAAAACTGAGTGGAACCATTTATAGCAGCTAAAGAGGGAAAACAATATTTTTTAAGGGTCAGAAAAACAACAAAAACCAATAACAATTTAATAGTAGTAATATATCCAACTATTATGAAAAGTATCAATAGAAGTACATTCGTCCAAAATTTCCATTTAAAAGTGATCGTTGATAAATATCTTAAAATTAATTTAAATATAGGAAAGAATGTCATACTGGATTGCTGAGTAAAGATGTAAGAGAATATTATGCCTTAATATTTTTCTTTCCAAGCCTTGTAACTATGAGTAAAAATTTATGATTATAAAAAGAAATGTCTGAAACACACAATACCATATGAAAGTATAAATTCCAACAAATGAAGAGTGACCTTATGAATGAAAATTGATTAAATTAAACTACTATATCTAATAAAATGAGTGTAAAAAAATTGAATGTTACAAAGCTGAATCCCTATCTATCCATGTCTTGTATTTCATCTTTGTCACTATCTTGTAGGTCAATTAATAGTTTGGTACTTCAGTAAAAATTTTAATTTCTTTATTGCAACAATCCATTTTTTTAGTGTGAGTAACATACTCATTACACTTGTCGGATGTCGTCTAAAAGTTTTTTTTGTAACTTAATATAAAACTAACAATGTAACAGAAATAGCAAACTAAAAATATTTTAGTCAATGCAGGGCACTTGAAATAACTTGCCTACCTGCAAGTACTTTGCAATCTGTAGTACCAAATCTATCTTGGATGCATTTTATCCTCTTTTGTTTCTTTTTGTAAACTAATATAAGAAATAATTATTGCCTTTTCCAACTAATTTTGCTAGGTGGTAATGATAAAGGGTAGTTTGCTCAGTACGAGTTCATGGAATTGGATATGCTATTTATAAAGTGTGCCCAAAATGCTAGCAACTATTCAATAGTACGACTAGAATAAAAATGAACCCCCAATTAAATAACTTCAAATAACTAATATCAATTATCTAAAAACTCTGAAAATAACCAATTACATCAACTATTTAAATAACTGAAAGCAGATGCGCAAGATATTACGGAAGAAATTCATGCTCATATCACGCAAAAAAACAACACACACCAGTTGCAAAGCATGTGTTTCAGAAAACCTTGACGCAAGAGATGTTCATAGCAACAAGGCCCACTGAAACAATCTGTTTTTGCTGTCAACTTACCTTCAAAATTGTTCCAACTTTGTTACTTAAAAAAATTGAGATATATATTCCTATAATGAATGAACAAATGCTATTACATTTGTTGATATAGCAGTTAAATATTTCTCACTTCTAGCTTGTCCTTTCATCATGATTCAAATAAATGTGCAAATTGGGAAATACTACAAAAAATTTCAGCGCTCAGTACCACTTCTTTCGAATAAAAGTAGCTAAATTAAGTATATTGTAGTTTTAAGAGTAGATTTTTAGTGATGTCATTTCCTTTAATCCGGCTTTTGCGTCAGTGAAAGCACCTCGTCTCACAGATCCTTCTGCTTGCAGCTCCCTTAATTCAATTTCCACTAATGATTTCGATCAAGAGTGTATTAGAAAATAATGGATATTATTTTCAATAATGAGATGTATTTTGTAATATTGATTATAGTATTTAGTGGTTTGTATGTAAATGAAAATTAACACAGAAGGAATTTATACAGCATTAACTGTTCCATGCTTAATTTCATCTGTTTGCTGATTAGAGAGTCTTGTGTAATGATTATATTTGGTGGAAATGTTCAAGGGTTAACCTGTTAGTTATGTCCGTTACTGTGTCCGCACAATACGTGTGCCAAGTTGTAGCGCCTTAAATCTCAAAAATAGTAATTATTACAGCCATCCCATTTAACGTTACACAATAAAATTAATATCTGTAATTTCAGAGGGGGACATAGACAGTGCGGCCATAATGAATGTTTTCTCTCGTACATTTTGGCGCTCTGACACACAGGTATAGAGGGGTGTCAGTAGACTGTTACAGGTGAACTGCCGCAGTGTTATAAATAAAATTATAGCATTTTCGAACTTTCTCAATAGCTGTGACCCAGATGTAATCGCAGGGTTGCCACCTCTCCTACTTTTGGAGGAATTGTTCTCCTGTTTTAGCGTTGTCCTCCCTCCTTTTTTAAATTTACATAGAATCAGTAGCGTAGTGTGATCATTTTTCCTAAATGCTATTCGCTCGTTTACCCGGTGGATGCTAGAAGAACATGAGTCTGTCACCGAATTTTGCTTCTTATAACTGAAGGAGAAAAAAAAAATTTCTTTACAAATTGGTGTCAATGCATTGTTGGGGATTGTAATAAAGTATCTATGAGATTGTCGTCTGATAAAGACATATTTCGTACAGTAAACAAAAACACTTGTATTTATCAGCTATAGATTAATTACTAATTTGAACACGAAATTCTCACCTGTCACATACAAAAAGCGTTAAATCTTAAAGTCTTCAGCTGGATTGTTTCACTATTATATGTAAGCTCGTCCCACAATAATATAGAATAAGCTCAATATTGGTATTGTGGTGAGTTATCGTTGGCTGTTACAATGAATTATTGAGTAGTCATTGCCAACAATATTGTTAATTACAATAGAAGCTTTCATCTTAGCAATCATTTTTCTAGTACAAGAAACATTAAAACATGAGTAAAAACATTAAGATAAATAGATTAAAAATAATTTTAAATTAACAAAATTGGATTAACATTTTAAGAACTGAAACAAAGGGAGTGATAAATAATTTAATATTACAAGAAAGTGAATGGAATTGAATTTGAACTTGTAAACTTTTGAAACAGAAAACATGAAAATGTAAGTTGAGTCGTTTCATACCTGCTGTATGGAAGCCACAAAACAGGGTACGCAGGTAGGGTTAAGGAGGTTAGAGCGAGATAAATGTTATGTTTAACTTGCCTTTTTTGTTGTATTAATCGATAGATGAGTGGTTCTTCTGTGTTCTGGTAGAGTGAATCGATTTTACCGTCTAATTTTCGCGTAACCAGACCGTACAGTTTGCTGTTATAACATGGGCACTTATGGTGACCTGACAGATTTGACCTGAAATTTTCTCTTTTGAAAAACTCTTCTTTTGGTAGCTAGCATCTCGAAGTATCAACGCCCAATTTGAAGAAAATCTACCGATTCAAATAGGAGAATTTTGCAAAATTATAAGCCTAAATCAGTCCAAAGGGAGGCGTTGCGCGCTTTCTAGAGGGTCGGGACTGTGACGCGCAACTTGGCAACACCTTTTGAGAGAAATATTGTTGGATATTTAGTTCACCGACTTTGAATCTCAACATTAGTATGTATACAATATGTGTATTACAATATATATATTGTAATGGCACGGTCGCACGCGTATTTTAACATTTTATTTGAAATAACCATGCTGTGTAAGAAGGTGTGGAAGTGTATCATTTGCGACCTGTGAGGGTGTAGGATGCGTCGGGGGCGCGGAGGCTCTATTGTCCTGGCAGGGGCGCTCGCCTGCCACATCTACTGACTCCCCGGAAAATACGGACGTGGCTGCCTCCTAACGCGGCAATTCAGCCGCCCCGTTTTTGGAACTCGGGTGACGTTCGAGTTTCAACGGAATTTGGCAAAGCTCAAACGGTCATCAAACATTCCGCGATAGGGCGGCAAAAACTGCGCGAGGTGCGCCCGTCAATCGCGGAAATGGAAGCGGGGGAGGGCCACGTGACTCCGCAAGCTCGGTCATTCCGATAGAGGAGGCCACAGCGAGCAGAAGTACTTTTCCGTGGAAGGGACGAGGGCGACTTTCTTTGGCTCCTGGGGCGCGTCAATGAATGCGTTACTGCGTCGCCGCCGCCCGGATGCATCATCGCCACATCG